TGCAATATTTACGCATAGGATCATTAATGATCGTCTGAAACTCAGTGTTACATTGGAAAGGCAGTGTAAAAACTATGATTAAGTCAGAAACCAAAAATCCACTAATAAAATTATATTAAGATAGGCGAACCGCCTAACTATTTTTTGTCATCCATGTCTACAATCACCTCTCGTTTGCATAATGAATCATTGGTAGGGCAAACATTCAGCATCGAAACATGTGTCAGTGTTAGTTGACAGACCTATGCTATGAAGTAAATCTTTCCTTCCACTTCCATGTATCATTTCTCAAGTGAATGCCGTTTGTTCAACGGCGGTGACTAAAGGCCTAATACGGTTTTGCGGATGAATTTACTGCATACATTTATTTAAGCAGAGAGATAAGAACAAAAAGCACACAAGCAAAGAGAAGCGAAGTGGAGAAGGCGAGTGAGTCAACTTAATGCATTAAGGCATGACTAAGTATTGATAGTCAGATCAAGGTAGAGTAGACATGTGATTAGCAAAGTGAGCATGCGCAAACACATGCAGAATTAAATAAAAACAACGAGTTATAACTGTATAATTGACAAGGTCGGAAGACGTGCAAATAAGTCGAGTAGAATGGATGATTTAATTTGTCCAAAAGCTGGGACAAGCTATGTGGACTCGACGTATTAGTAGACACTACAATACTTAAGTGAATATTCAAAGAACTATTTTTGCTTAAACCTAGTGAAATTTTAGCTGAATGATGTTGTTTAAACCGGCATCATTATATAGCAAAAAATATTCCAAAATACATTTCAAAATTGTTATTAAGCATAATGGTAACAGTGGTTTTTAGCCTCAACTTATCAATTTCTAGCTGTCACATACAAAGAGTTAGATGTTTTACAAAATTCTTGTAACTATGATTACTGATCTTTGAAACAGAGAAATTTTTACAGCCATCATGACACAAGGAAAAAGAAAAAAAACTGATGACAGATGAAGATTTTGTTCACGCTGCATGAATACAACAACCACTTTTTACAAAATCATTTTTTGATATCAATTTTATCGATACATTAACGATAAATTAACGAATTTCACGTACAACCAGTAAAAAAGTAAAAAATTGTTAAATTGATTCTTAACCAAATTATACTGAAGTAATATAGAAAATATTATACTGAACAAAAGTTACATGAATATTAAAATCTAATGTCATACTGATCATTTCTTATTAGCTCATACATAATTTGAGATATTTTTTAAAACTAAAATTTTAGATAATTAATTCTTTGCTCAGTATTTGATATTTATGTTCAAGATTTTATTTCCCTATTGTAGGAAAATAGCGAGAGATGAAGCAATTGATAAGAAATGAAAACGAACAAATAAATCCCACATTATTATTTGAAAAATAAATGAACCATACGCTATCGACCATTTATTTGTTTTCTCTATTGTTTTATTATGAATGATTTAGAGGAAACGATTGATAATCAAAATATTTATGAAATGAAATGGAATTGTTTATTCACATACAAATCAGTCAGTATTTATTGAGCGCTACCAACATTACTACTAATATTCATTATAATATGTTTGATGAACACATGTAATGAAGCAGATAAAAAAAATCATTTTTATTCATACGGTTGGTCTAAATATGTTGTACACAAATATCTTATCTACTTTTAGAGGATAAACGTCAGCTGAAAATCCCCCCGGTTCTTGATCGCACTAAATAATTGTGTACTTTTGATCATTTTATAAATGACTGCACTCTTGTTATCCATCTTTGCTCAAGACAATTGGAATTGGAGCATTCAATCCAATTAGAAATTAATGTTTATTCTTGGTCATCATCAAAGTGTATTAAAATGGTACAGTAGAACAAGAAGACATTCATACTTCGTTGTTTGATTTCACAATGTAATGCTTCATTTTTTTCTCACTTACTTCAATTATATCAAAACAAAGTGGTAAAAAAAGGAATCTTTGTTTAGTAGTAACATCATGTTTTCTGAATATTTGTTTTTATTTATTAATTCGGATGAGTGAACTAACCAATTAACTTTCCAGTCTGTGATTCTTCATGATTTGTACAATTTTTAATTTATCCATAAACAATAAAAAAAATGCATAGTATATGCATGAATGACTAAAAGAAATATCCACTGAATTTTCATTAATTTTCAACCATAAAATAATATCTGATGTATAAAAAATATCTCTTAAATAAAGCTTATTAGAACTAATGAAAGTGATATTCTTAAATTATCTTATTATTTGCTTGTCAAAGAAGTTAGTCTAGTTATTGGTTGTTTAACTAATAAATTAATGCAACGTTTCTGTTGATTCCCTTTTATTGACTTTCCAAGACTCAGTTAATCAATATCTGCCAGGATTTATCTGTTCATTTCCACCGGAATTTACTATAAATTCTATAAATAAGATGCGAAACAGATGTTTCAATAATTTATTTACATTTTTGTCAGTCAAAACAACCAAGTAACTTTTATCCATACATAAAATTATTGATTAATCACCTTCAATCACTTAATCACCTAGTTTAGAGCAAACAAATTCGATCACTGTCTAATGAACTAAATGATACTGAATGCATACATATATATATATTCACACGGCATTGTAATTTTCAAACTGTTCGAGTCGTTTGCGAAGCTGCGGTAAATGAATTAAAAATTCTCATTTTACTTGCATGCATTCTTCTTCGAATCGAGTGATATCACTGCTGTGGAGACGTTAGATCCCCAGAACTCACATGGAAAAGGTCCTAAGCTGTAATTTATTTCTGACATTTTGATTTTATTACGTGTTTGCGTATAAGTCGCTCAGTTGACCTTCAGCTTACACTTCCCATTCGGAAATTTCTTGATTGCCATTGGTTTGTAGTGCCTCCACATATATTCCAGTTCGCTTACATCTTACTTGGTTAAGCCTTTTCGATTAATTTATTTAACCAGGCCATTTGCGTAGCAACAACTTATATGTACCATTCGTTCTTATTATTGTCTGGTTTGTATGAGTTCACATGACGTGTCCCACTTGTCATTTGACCTTGTCAACCATTCGTCGCTTTTATTCATGTGTGTTCATGCCTACCTCGTTGATCATATGTCTGTCTTATTTTTTTCTGGCTATATATTCTTAGTTATGTTCTATTTCCGGGACTTGGCTCAACAGCCTTCTCCAATTTACGTCGCTTCATTCGTCCTATTCACTGCTTCTCCATTTCGCTTTGTGGTGTGTCCCAAATAAACGTATTCAACAATACGAGTTCATCTTCTGATTTTTGAACCGTCAGACGTTATTTAGTAACGATCGTCTAGACGAGCTAATCACGAAGCATAAGAACACGCAGTAAATCGACACACTACAGTACTTCAGTAATTTATTTCGTGGCTCTCCCAAGAGCGTTGCTACAATTGTATAAATAAACTTGAATTTTGAGCTTAGCAACCTCGTATTTTCTGCTTGCTTCTAGGAGACACTACGCCTTATCAACACTTCTTGCTTTAGTTAGCCGGGGCTAGGACAACCGATTAGAATAGCGTATCACTGAGTCATTTCTTTCATTCCGTTTACTAAGTAAGGTGAGCTCGTAATAGTTTCAAGCATATTAATAAACGAGCATATCAGAACACTTGTTAAACTAGTAGGGAATCGCAATTTATTCCACAGTCATAAATAACAGACATATCAGGAGTGGTACAAGTTTTTTGCCAAGTAGTTATAAATTCCTAGGTAGATTATTACACTATTTAGTATTTTTTGTTACTGATATTAAATTGATCTACACTGAACAGAATTTACGCATTTCATTCGTTGATAAACCTGGAATATCAAGAGCCACGTTGGTTGAATAACTGTGAAAACTAGAAGTGAAAATTAATCTTGTTTTGGTCAGTATGGTCAATTATAAGACAATTTTAACAGGAATCATGCACTGATCAATGTTAGCACACGACTGAAAACTCAAACGGATGACCATTTCGTCTTAGTATGAAACTTCATATGTTTCATCCCAAGTATTTTCACAAATTATCAATGTCTTTTCTATAAGGCTTATGAAGGAGTACTTAAAATTAACTCAAGAATACCCACATGCATAAATTGTATTCTAACATTTTATCACTCCAGTTTAACCAATCTTATCAAACAATATATCCCACAAACGGTTTAAAGGCAAAAACTATATGAAAAACCTGCGCTTTATACATTTGAAAAAGAGTTATTCAAATGTATGCTTTAAGTTTAAGAAGTAAATAATCCCATGTCTAAAAAATACTGTATAAAGCATTAGATGTATTCATATAAGGTAATTTTACTGTTTTCACTGTTTTCAACTTCAGACAATGATTTTCCTGATATTTTTGCGACCAAAGAATTCTACAAATTTACACAGTAAACGTATTTTACATGTTAATGTGCTAAACAAAAAACAACTTTAAACTGAACCATCTTTTCAAAAATCAAAAATGTCAAAGCTTAATACAAATGGTCATGAAATCCATGCAAACTGTTACACACAATTGTTGTTTCGTTATCTATGTGACAACATTTTAAACTCATACACAAACTATTGGTATCTTTTGGTGCATGAAAAATTAGCATTTCAAACTATACTTGAAATAGACATAAATTTTTTTTTAACCCACAAATTTTACACAACTAACAGTCACTACAATGATATCATCTATAGAAGAAGTACATGTATTAAACTATCTATCTGTAGAGAATGCATTTTGCATGAAAAAAATAAGTGATGATTTACATCTCTTTTTGTTGATAGATTAGTATTTTTAAAAATATCATATAATCGGTGGATTGAATAATTTAATTCTAAACGAAAGAACAATGTTACCTTTGTTGTTTTCCATCCATTGTTATCACATTACACACAAAGTTATAATATTTAACAACAATCAATTTACCATCTGTTATGAATCATGAGGAATCAAAAAGAAAACTAATATTTTTTATTTATTAATAAATTGATGAAAACATCAATAATTGTAATCAATAAAACATGTACTGAAACAATGTATTAAATGTTTCAATTGTAGACGAAATTTCAAATTGAAAAAGAAATAAATCAAAGGATTTGCAGCAGAATTAATAAAATATAGAAAATGAAATAATCGTCTTAAATGATATTTAATTTTAATTTTTGATGTTTCATATGGTCTATGCATATGTTGAATATTGTTATCTGTTAGATTAATGAGTTGTTGACTGTAATAAATATTGTCGTTTGAATGAACTTTAGTAATCGTTGTTGAACTATTTTCTAGAATTTTATTAGATAAAAATGTATTGGTTATATTTATTAAATTGTAATTATCTGAAGAAGAGAATTCGTTTGTTGTTGTTGTTGTTGACAATTCCCAACTTACTGGCCAAATAAATCTATTAGCAATTAATAAACTTGGCAAATATGAAGTAAGAAAACTCACTGTAATTAAAATAAATGTGATTGCACTTCGTATATGTCGATTATTTGGTAATTTAGAGCGATTGGATTTCTTGTATAAATTAAATAAATTCTTTTTGTTAGATTTACTTTGCTGATCATTATTATTGTTATTATTGTTTTCATGTAAAATAGTTTCTTTATACTGGTGAATTTCATTTTGATTCTGTTTGGTTTTTAGCTGATGATGATTTATGGATTTCAAATTCATTTGTATTGTTGAATCACTATAACTAAGTGTGAGTCTATTTGGCTGTTGATTATCATTTGAACTGATTCGATTTATTTGTACACTTAAAAATCTTTGTCTATTATAATTACGAAAACCATTAGAGTATAATTTATCCGCTGGTTGTTTGATCACAACATCATGTTTTAAAACAGTCTGAGGAGTACTCATTGGTTCAACTACATTTATTTTAGGTCCGAATTTTGTTCTCCATCGATATTGATGTATCATGATGAATAGAAATAAGTAACCGTAAAAAATGCATATGCAAGTGAAAATAAAACTGAATAAAATCAAAATAGACAACTGGTAAATTTCATAATCTTTTTTTGAAATGAAACGTTCATCAGATTTACAATAACCGTAATTTGTAAATGATGTTATTAGATCGATAAATTGTGATGCAAAATAAGATAACAATGGTCTCTCTGATGATATCAATAAGCTGTCAGAACTATTTTCATTTAATTCTGATCGGTTAATATTCAATACATCATTTTGCTTATGAAACATGATAATAGTGTCTGAATCACTAGATACAAGTTTGTCAACTGTACTTATTTTAAAATAGGTATGTACACCTTGATGTAATCCCATTGGTATTGCCCATAATAATCCCAAAATATATGTTCCAACGATTAATCTCTTCATACATCTTTTCGTCATTATTACACATGGTATAAAGCAAACGAGTAACCAACGGTCCAAAGCAATTATAACCAAAAACAATGCAGAAACAGTTAGAGTAAATGATTTTAAAATCACATGTAATCTACAAATAATATCATATGTTCTAATTTCCCATACTATCAGAAAGATTGTTGTTGGTATATCGACCACACAGATAACCAAATCATTGATTGCAAGAAGAACGATCAGAAGGTCAGAGTTCAAATCTGTGTGCATGACAGAACGTCTAGAAAATGTAAACTGTTTTGCAATTTTTCTATCTTTAGTATAATCATTTCCTGTTTCTGTCACCTGTTGAATATTTAATGCTGAAATATTGTTGATACTTATCAAACTCCCGCCTTGATTTTTGAGTTCATTATTACTAACAGAATTAGAAGATTGACTAATTGGTGCAAAACTGGAGGCTCTAGACAAACGTACGTGAAGATAATGATTAGATTGTTGTTGGCATACATCCTGCTGGCACTGAGAGCGCTGTTGGTTAGGGTTAAGGCTTTCTGATGGCTTTGTACATCTTGAACAATGACAAACAATACGTAGACAACTTTCTAGAAACTTGAAGAAGCTTTTAAATATATGCCGACCTATTGTATGCACTACTAACCAATTACCGATCAATCCAAAGATACTGATGAATACAAGAAAGCAACTGATTATAATCAATGTCGGAATGTAGTTTTTTAAAACAAGTTTTTGGGCGTTCTCCTCTTCTTCAGCAATAAGACTATTCAAATTTGATAATTCCATTATAATAACATGAAAGATTTCTTTTTATGTTATCATCTATCAGACAGAGTTAGGTTTGCTTTAAAAGCTTCAGTAAATTGAATAATCTCAGTAGTTACAATATGTAATATGCTAAAAATGTAGGATGAAATTCTAACCAATCAAAAATATATTGAGTTTGATTGGTCAGTCATAATTTAGCAGTTGACAGTTATCTAAACTTCTATTGAATTTAACAAAATTATCAACCTGCAGAATTTACTGATTTACCTATTAAACTGTTTTCGTTTTATATTGCACAAACCATTATCAATATTATAAATCAAAACTAAAATTAAGTTGTATCCTATAGTGCAGAAAAAAGTTACGAATCACATACGATAAGTGATCAACAAGCATTTACAGAAATTCTAAGTTTCTGTACAAAAAAACGTTAAGTACATAGTCAATAATGCATTAACTAAAAATTAATCTTATATTTTAATAATAAAACTAATATAAATTATGGGACGGAAAATATTTTTCAACATACAATAGACAATGTAAATGTAAATTTCTGTATAGTATAATAATTATACGAAATTATATTCTATAAATGTTTGCTCTGTTATCAGTTTTTGCGGTTCGTACGACTTCAAAAAATGGGTGTCATTGAACCTGTGAGTTTCTCTGAATGGGCTGCACCGATTGTGGTGGTCAAGAGGTTAAACGGCAGTGTCCGCCTATGTGCTGCATTCAAGCGATTTTGCAGTTCGAACGGCATAAAGCATCTACGATCCCCACCTTAACATCCCCAATCCAATGGACAAGCAGAACCCTTCGTTGACACCTTCAAAAGAGCTTGACTGAAAGGAGGAGGCAAGGATCCAACTAGCCAAGTAATCAATAGATTTTTAACGACTTACAGAAGCACTCCGAACCATACGATCCCAGATGGAAAGTCTCCAGCCGAAGCAATGTTTAGAAGATGTATTCGGACTATTTTTAACGCGATGTTGCCCCCTAAAAGAGTAAATAGGTACAGGCCAAATCAAAATATGCACAGCTTTAACGTTAGCGATAAAGTGTTTCTAAAATCATGTCTTGGGAAAAATCGATGGGAACCAGGAACCGTTGTACAAAGACTAGGAAGAGTTTTGTATCGGATAACAGGAGCTTTCGGAAGCTGTACCAGACACACGAACCAACTGCGAAAGGACAAAAGAATGGTACGCTCAGGTGATAATCGCGTAAATCTACCGCTGGAGCTGATCACGGAACCGACGTTTCTGTCGTTCCTATCATAAAATTTATTATCAGTTAAGCAGCCATGTCTATTTTTCTTCTTCATCCATCAGATATCGAATAAATGAATTCCAACGAACTTGTCTCACTTTTTCTCCAGTTAAACAAGCTTAAAATTATACTAAATGGTTTAGTGTTTTAAAGTATAAGATTTCCATTATTGAGCATTTTGAAAGGGTATAAATCACCCATAAAATTGTATGAGTATGTACAGTAGACATTCACAATCGTCCGATTCAAACAGTTAAAAGGCCAAGTTTATTGCAACATTGCAACGGCTTGAAAAAAGTAAAATCGAACGTTTTGGCAGGCACCCGTATAAAATGATTTGTTTGAAAGTGTCGCAAAAAATTTAGCCGGAATCGATAAAACTGGCGACAATTATTTTGACTAAATGACACTGTTCATCTATCAGTGAATTATTCTCCATGGACTGCAAAAAAATGACATTACTGAAAAAAATATTTTCATTATTCCTTTATATTTCGTAAACTAGTCAGGTACTATAGTTGATCCTTTGATTCAATTACATTCTTAATATATTTATTCCAGATATGTTATTGAAAACGTTTCAATGGTTGTTTTCAATTACAAGAAATTTTTTGGGATCATTAATAATCACTAATGATAATCATGAAAAGAGTCAAACAATATTTTTGAAGTAATGAAATTATAAACTGAACAATAAACTGTTGTAACTATATATATTATGTTTGTACTTAGAACATGAAAGATTCTTCAATTTGTACACTACAAGAAGAAAAACAAACACAAAGTAGAATGACAATCTCACGTTCTAGAAACATAACAACTACTTTCTCCAAATGTGATCAATTCGTTAATGATTTCACTCATAATTTGAAGGTTTACGAGCGAATATCACATTTAAGCTATGTAAGGGTTAATATCTAGATCGATCGAACGCAGAATAACCATAAAATCAGAGTCCCATAATAAACCTAAACAAATTCTCGCTAAATTAATAAAAGGAATATACAGACAGACAGATGCAACGCAGAACTTCGTACGCAAGTACATCAGTTCAGGTTGCCATACCACATCAGCACAGAGACGCAACCCAACAGTTCAAATCCAATAGTATAGTAGAATTATTAGCAGTAATGGATAAGATTAGGGAGTGAAGATATGATTTAAGAACTATAATTCAGTGAGATAAATTAATTAGGAGAAAGACAGAGATTATGAGAAATTCAGAAGGTAAGAGTTTGAGCGAACACAAAGAGTGGATGCAACTGCGCCATTAAAAACGATTCTGAGTCATGTCATTCAAGGTCTCTAACGATTGGTGACTTTCGTCTCGCGGAACCCAATCTGGTAGCCTACATCTACCAACATCACTTGTCAGTGACTTCATGGATTTGTGCCATGTTTTGGTTTGGCCGCCCCTAACTTTCTTCCAACCTACTCCTACACCACAAAACATAGCTCGTCACGGCGGTCGGTAAAGGAATGATAGTAGAGTTAGTCGTGGAGATAAGAGAGATAATAGGGAGTGTAGGAAGGATTTGATTATGATCTATTTGGTCTCGTGTGCTGTTACTGGTATGACGGCGGTTGTCACTTTCCGGCTGCCCACACCGTGGAAGGGTGTTTCTTGAGGAACCTGAAAAGAAAGGTAGATTAGTGACGGTCTTAGAAACCTGAGAGCGTGACCACAGAGCCCAAGGGACAACTGCTTGAGGGCGGTCACGCACGGCCTTTTTATTAAAGGTTTTTTGAGGATTACCTCCGCTCTTAAAGACCCTTAGTGGGCACCCTTACCGATGGAGAAGGAAATCCTTGAGGTAAGGTGAGGTATGACATTTTTAGGGTCGACCTTTTCTAACCCTTTCTTTCTTGTGAGAAGGCAGCATTGCTGCAGATGCTGACTGACCAAGCGAAACACCTTACTGCTGTCACACCTCTCTGCAGTCAGCAGTACGACTTCGCCCTCAGACTTCGAGTAGCTGCTTTTGGTTTCATCGTTCTCCAATTGACCTGCCTGGCATGATGAAACCTTCGGGAACATATGTTTGAGCCAATATAGCTCGGTTGGGTCATCATGACAGGCAAGCCCGACCACCACGTCAAGGTAGCAGTTTCTGTCGGGTAATAAAAGGGAATGCCATATTCAATAAATTTTACATCGAAATAAATTAAATATCACACTAAACAAAATACCAGACTGAATTAAGACGAATATTATACAAAACAATTGTTATACTGAGTTAAAAACGTAAATAATATTGAACGAAATTCACACTTAATCAAAACATGACTTCGAGTTCATATCTTATCTTCATGTTCACATGTCAATATCTTTCTTATTGGAGTAAACTGTTTAAAAAAATAGACTAATTTCACTCTTTAAATATTTTACAAACTGAGCAAAGTTTAAAATATGACCTAGTGAATAACGATTTATTTGGTAATGAATCATACAATTAGAAAATGTCAAAAAATGAAATAACTGTTGATGATTTCCTGGTATTCAGTGGTTTTCGGCGTAAAGTGTATCAGAAATAAACAATTTTTTAGTGAAACATATTTATTTTTGTCAATGAAAAACTGAAATTTAACTTAGATGGTCGATCAAACTCAACAACATAACAGGCTGATTAGACGATTTAATTTCATATTAAACTGAATTTGTTATTCAAATAATATTTATGAACTACATTTAAGATAACATATGCCCAATCGTTTCCTAGGTAATTATCGTTGCTTAGAATTTATCAAGATTTCAATAAAGTTCCAACCATTTTCTTAGCCTATCTTGAAAATCAAGGAACTATTATTTCAAAGTTTATATATTATTAAGTTGAAAATATCTGTGAATCTTCAGATGTATCATAAAATCATTTACTCTTTAACTTTATATGCAGATAATTTGCATTCATATACCAGTCAACACACGTCCATAAAATCTATTTTAAATAAAAGATGACTTATTTTTATATAGAGTAAGGAGCTATCACGAATCAAATGTCTTTCTCAGAAATCTCAAAAGTCTGTTTATTAGTATCGTTTTAAGTCATATTTTCCTTGAATTCCATGTTCATGAAAGAAGCCTTCAAATCTATGAATTTACTTCCAACTGGAAGTTTTGATTTTGGACTATCAGCGCGATGAAGCATTCATCCCATTTTACTCAGCTCTTTATCAGTTATGTATTTTTTCTACATTCATCTATCTCTCGAGGATAGAGAGTGGATTAATATTCTCTTCTAACCGAGTATCACTCACCTCTCAAATTCGTAAACTATCCATTTAACACAGACTTCTTGTCTATCGGTTATAGTAAAAATTTATCTAATCTCTTTAGTGATGCATCAAGAAAGCGAAATTTTTAATCTAACTACACTGTTATCGTGAAAATAGTTGCATGATGACATTTTCTGAAATAGTGTAATATATAATTAAGGTCACTGTTTTCGTCACTGATAATATGGTAATGAAAGACCTTCATATTCAAACGTTGAAAGAAACCTACCATTTTTGACAATTTTGAAACTAAAAATTACCTGTAAATGCGATTGATTGTACAACTCAAGAATATCTTGTCATTCAGAAGAAACTTTTTTCCCCTGAACTTTAAACTTAAATGAATTTATGAATTTCGTTTGTTGTTTAAGAAACTGAAATATTCTAAGAATGATTTATTCTTATTTTCAACCTCTGTTTTGAAAAATAACCTTTGTTAAGGTCTTGTATCAAACTACAAAAGAAATCAACTCACGGAATATTATCCATCTCTTTTGTTTTAGTTAAGTACTTATATAACAGTGCACTCGA